GAGAGAGAGAGAGTGGGAGAGGGAGAGAGAGAGATAACAAATGCAAAAGAAAGGGAGATACGAGTTGCCGGAAAGGATTTTTCTTTTATATGTTTGCTTAGCCAAATGATTTCACCTAGCTGGACTCGCAGTCGCGTTGCTGCGAGAGCAGGAAACATACCCGACTGTATATTCCATAGCTTAAGGCTACAAAATCTTAGCAATCGGCAGACAGGGAACGAGAAGTATTGACGTGTTCACAAACAGGCTTTAAAGATGTATATCCTAAGGATACTGAGACAATAAAATGTAATAACTATTTCAACCAGCAAGGTTACGAACTTTTGACTGCCGATACAGTGTATATTTTTAAAAGAAATAATGTTTCTTGAGAGTTAAAAAGTGCAGAATACTTTTCGTTCACCGGAGCTACTGTTCATATGATAGATACCTATGGCTTAATGCTTGTTTTTTTATATTAAAGCAAAACGGTATGTTTATAGTCCCGCGGTCTATTGAAATGATCTTCTTTGTACACTCATCGCACACACACACACACACACACACACACACACACACACACACACACACACACACACACACACACAAACACACAATCACACACATTTATACACAAATACGTACCCTTACTTTACTTACTTTATCCGTCCTCTTGTACCTCGAGGGCGTCGAGGGGAGAAAGAGCTTCCTGTCTCTTGCAAGTTCGATGGCCTGGCTGGGTATGTTCTCAGGGTATCCTTCACAGTCTGGATCCAGGTCTTTCTTGGTCTTCCTCTTGCCCTGACTTCGCTTGACACGAGCGTTTATGTAAACAAATCACAAAATGTTACTCCAATGTATGAGTATATGAAATACTTAACTTTTGGCAATACGTTTTTATATGTACATTTCAGTAAACGACAGCTCTGATATGGTATTAGAAAAATTAAAGTTCTTTTCAACAATGTTTGATTTTTTAGATGATCGAGCTCGAATTGTAATAAAAATTGTAAACTCTGACAGACTCGAATGAAAGTAAAGCCTTTAGGACTTCAATCACGGTCAGCTAAATCATTACCAAATTGAATTAAAGATACACCAAAAATGTGGAAATTCTATCGAGAAAACCTCTCCCTTGTACACGACTGCACAAAAGGTTTCATTTGCGATGTCTTTTTTTTTAGGGGGGGGGGGGACGGTGATTATTACTTTGTTATAGTAATTCACACCAAAGACTGAAAAGGTTCTTAGTACCCCTTGTGAAATCCTTGTTTTAAAAAATTTGGACCACCTTGTATGATTTGAAAAAGGAAGAACAAAAGCTTGTTTTCCTGCATGTGCTTCTAGCTTCTGAAACATTGATATCTTGGTTGATTCTCTGAGAAATTGTATGAGAAATCTATACATCAGAGATCTGATTTCTTGAGTATCTATCGGATGTACAAAGATATAACGCTTGCCCCCTCGACAAAGTAGCCCAGATTAGGAAGAACTCGCATTGGCTCTTGGTAAATATAAACACAGCCTTGCAATAGGCAGTCTCTTTCGATCCACGCGAAATCCGTTCGAACTGAGCCATAGTATTTGTTGAGGACTGGAAATGCAGTGATATATCACAATAGGAGTAGCCCAGTATTTGAGCAGACTGTTTTTTCACCAAAGAATACGCTGTTTATTTTCCATCTTCATTGAGAGAACACTTTTCTATCTATCTATCTATCTATCTATCTATCTATCTATCTATCTATCTATCTATCTATCTATCTATCTATCTATCTATCCGTTCGTCTGTCTGTCTGTCTGCCTGTCTGTCTATCTATCTATCTATCTATCTTGAAGTACACTTGTACAAGACTTCCCGAAAGGTCGCTTGCGTGAACTGAACAATTCATTTTTTTCTGAGACAAGGATTATTCCTGTGTTGAAGTCATTCGCACTGAGGACTGAAACGGGTCTTGTTATTCACAGTGATTTAATAATAATTTTGCCCCCAGAGATTTGGACTGTCCAGTACATTGGAGAACAAAACACTTGTACAGTCACACCCCTACACACTAGATAGATAGACAAGATAGATAGATAGATAGGTAGATAGATAGATAGATAGATAGATAGATAGATAGATAGATAGATAGATAGATAGATATTTGTTTCTGTATGCACTCAAACACACATACACACACTCATGATACGAGTGATGGTTATAAGTTTTGTGGGGTTGATCTTTCTTTCATATTCTAGCAAAGGCTTCATTAGACGACTATGGCTCCACGTCTGCTTCCCTTCTAGCACCCTTTGAAAAGAAAGGATGTGTGGAGAAAGGAATGCTGTACATCTCAGCAACAGGGGTTGCATATTAATTGTTCTCTCTCTCTCTCTCTCTCTCTCTCTCTCTCTCTCTCTCTTTCTCTCTCTCTCTCTCTCTTTTTCTCTCTTTCTCTCTCTCTCTCTTTCAAACACATTTCATTGTGAGATTCCAAGCTTCTGTAGGCACGTCAAGACTAAAGTATTTTAAGCCGAAAACAGAATTAACCTCTTAAAGATGAGATTAACTCTTTTTGAAAAAAAAGGAGAACAAAAAACGAATTTCGCATGCACTTCAAACCTTAGGCAGCTGCCTTGGTATTCTCATCTTCCGTTAAAGCAGCTTACAGTGGCGTTGCAAAAGGATGAGCCTATTATGAGGGAGACACCCGTGCATTGATTATACATTACGCGATCGTTATTGTGTACAGCTGACCGAGGAGCCCGCAGCCAGAGCGCCAACTTAATCAAGGGCCCATTGTGTTTCTTCGGGAAATCGGCAGAGGAATCAGCCCAGTTTGTTGGCCTACCGTGTTTCTCTTATGGGGAAGCGACACTTTTTGAGGGGAAAACTTTCATGAGGGTAGAACTGTATGAAGCCCCTGAAATCAGTGGAGATTCTACTGCAAGACATTTTAAAGTCTAAAAGACGTAACCCTTTCCAAAGTAGAGAGCTTAGGAGAGTTTGACTTCGAAGTTTGTACGTTCTAAAAATGCAAATCAAGTCTGCAAAGAAAACTTGAAAGTGTAACAACTTAAAGTTCGATTTTGGGTCCTGTAATCTTTGCTGATGTTACACACTTCAGTAGCACGGACCTACCCTTCCCCCCTTATTCTTCCATACTTTTTCATAAAAGTATTTTGTTTGATGGGGCATTGATAGGGGGGAGGGGGGGAGACAGACTCACTGCCTATTAGCGGCAGTTGGAAGTTTTCAGCTTGTGGAGCATGGCATACCAGCTACTATGATCGCCCCTGTCTGCTTTCTCTGGGTTTTTTCTCATTCATAAGTCTTTACCCCTTCATGTGTGCACCAATTTCGAAAAGATCTAGTTCCGTTTCAAGAATAGATACACCCTTTACCACTCCTAATAAAAATAAATAAATAAATGAACAAATAAACATGCGCCCCAAATGACAACGTGACTTTTAGCTTTAAAAAATCGAACAAAGGGTGGAAATTCTCTCTCCCTCCATCTCTCTCTCTCTCTCTCTCTCTCTCTCTCTCTCTCTCTCTCTCTCCCTCTCCCTCTCTCTCTCTCTCTCTCTCTATCTCTCTCTCTCTCTCTCTCTCTCTGGCACACACACACACACACACACACACACACACACACACACACACACACACACACACACACACACACACACACACACACACACACATATATATATACACATATACACACACACACTTTCGTCTCTAACTTTTAAACGTCCGAGAAGGAAGCCAGGTACCCATAAACTGAACATCAGACAAAAACCAATTAAGCATTGTATTGTATTAGACAAGCTTGTGAAAGTGTTGTTTCTCATTATTTTCTAGATTGGGTCGCATTTACAAACATAGAATACAGCCTCTTAGGACAATGTTTTAGCACCCTAAGTGCAACGTTTTTATGCCTGCTTCTACCCTCTCTTGTGTTTCGTTCACAGGACGAGAAGAATCAAGTGCTCATCACGAATGTCTGGCTAGACCACGTAAGTTTGCTTTTTTATATTATATGTTTGTGTGTTGTTGTTGTTATTATTGTTACTGCTGCTGATTCTGCTGCTGTTGTTGTTGTTGTCATTGTTATTGTTGTTGTTGCTGTTTTTGTTATTTTTGTTGTTGTTGTTGTTGCTGTTGTTGTTGTTGTTGTTATTGTTTGTAATTTCTTTTTGTTGATTTAGATATTTTTCCTAATGCTGTCGGAAGAGACTTAAAAAATCGTTTGTTGGTTTTTCATCCCGTTTTCTCCGTTGAGCTAAGGCACTTGAATGATACCTGCGTCGATGGTGTCTTGATCGGGCCTGTAAAGCCCGAATAAGGTATACACTTTTATAATTTTTAAGGCGTGTATTTCTTAGCACTTTCTTAGTCTTTTTGGGTTGAATCACTTCTTTTATAGATTCATGGCATGCAAAGTTTTGAAGTAGGGAGGCCTCTTATTGTTAAACGTTCCCACTCGAAATAGTTTGTCAATCTAGAACTTACACTCTTGGCATTATTTGAAATGTTTTCGGTTACAAAGTGTAGCTTCTTTCTTGCCAGAGTAGGCCTACTCCTTTCTGACCTTTCATCTACACAGCTTTTCTTTTCGTGTTCTCTGTTTATTTGGTGACGGTTACCTTTGTCTTTAGACAAGCCATAAATCATCGCTCTTCTGAGTCTACATGTTTGTTCTTATGTAACTGTATGTCTGTTCTTGTCTACTACACTAGACGTAGACAAAGAGTGTACTGATTGGCTGACGAAACAAACTCAGAAGGGCACGATTTCATCTCCGGGATACGTTTTGTAGACACACCTCTATTCTTCATGGTAGGGAAGTACACAGTCTTCACAGACAGCGCGATCCTCCTCTCTGTTTTGTTCTTCTGTGAGAGCCCAAGTATCAGGACATCCAAACACGCCAACTAATTAGTTATAGGATAAGACCAACAGCGTGCCATTATTCAAAGACCCGGTTATTCCCAGAGCGTTACAACACCCTCAATGCGAGGAGGTGAAAAAGCAGGCTTCGACGAGGGGATACATTCTGAACTTTTTCACTCTGACGGCGCCGGCGTCTGTTATGGTGTAGGGATTAGGCGCTTTGTTGTTGTACCCAGGAACCCTGTTGGGAGAAGTCATATCGAGTATTTCGGTCTTTCTACTGGTTAGTTGTATCCCTCTGAGTCCGGGTTGAGTCCCCCTAAAAAATCTAAATTGCGTCGATTAGAGGAAAGGCGGGGGGGGGGGTAAACACCCACATTATAGAAAAGGATAAACAACTACGAGAGTTTTTGGATAAAGGGACACCGATGTTTGATAATGACCCACAACTGAACAGAAACAAGCAATGGAAATTATCTGGTCTAGAATATATGGGTCTTATTTGCAGTTCATGATCTCCTTGACAGACTTGGCAGAGAGTCGTTAATCGACAATAACAGTGAATACGTACTAAGATTGCTCCATACAGAGAAATATTCAGGGCGATTTCGGGATGATCTCAAAACTTGTCTTGTTTATAAGAAAAGGACATTATATCAAAGTCCCACATCTTAAATAACCTTGTTATGTTAAGAGAGCAGTGCTTCGAAATTAATCAATATCCATTGCTTAGCTTCAAGACCAAAAGTAGTTTTACTTAACTTTGAGTATACTCGACGCTTCTTTTCATAATAACTAACTTGGTTGTGTATTCTGTTTTCAGGCTAGTCAACGTATCAGCATAGACATTTCAAAGTGCCATAAACTTTCTAACTCAAAAAATAATTCCAATTTGATTCTTTGCGAATTGGACCCGAGGCATAAGATTGATTTTCAAGAGATGCTACCCTTCAACAGTGTCGACACATGTCTTAATGTACTAAATGTCTCACCCACCACACGGCGCTTTTAATCAATAATATAGTGGGTGCATATTTTAAATGGTCTGACAATATTCTGAAACCGAATCTGGTAAGATTTTTACTTACTCACGTTAGATCCAATGTCGAAAGAGAACCGCTTACACAGTTCGTCTTCATATTGATGACTGATAGAAACAGAGATATCATGCCCACGTAAATTTGGCGACGCAAATTTTCTCGGGGATTATAGGTTTTTTTTCCTGGGGTTTAGGTCTTATGTCGGGTCACCCAAAATAGCATGTTCTCCAGGCGGACGAAGGTAATTTGGAAAACATTGCTCTCAGAAGGATAGGTTTCGACGCAGGCTGTGAGCAGGTCTTCCTTTAAAAAAGACCTTGTGAAGCATGTTGACTTCCTACGCATTTATTGTAGAATGTGATTAGTGCGCCAAGCGAGTCAAAGAAAACAATGTCAGTATGTTCGTCTGTCTGAGTGAGTTTGTATCGGTGAATGTGTTGGTATCATTGTGTATGTGTGTGTATGTGTGTGTGTGTTTGTTGGTGTGTAAGTGCGGGTGTAGGTGTGTGTGTGTGCGTGTGTGCGTGAGTGTATGTGTGTGCGTGTGTGTATGTTTTTGCGTGTGTGTATGTGTGTGTGTGTGTGTGTGTGTGTG